CCCCAAAACCCCAAAACCCCAAAACCCCAAAACCCCAAAAAATAAATAATTATTGAGAATAAAAATATAAATAAAATGAAAAAATACCCGATTGACCAAAACGAGGTGTAAGTTCCCTTCTTGGCTTAGTCAATATAGCTAATATTCTGGCTATAAAGTTTTTATTGTCCAAGATCCTTTTAGAAAATTTAAAGGTCTAGGGTATCTCTTCATACGAAGAATTCCAGTCGGAATACATCCTAACGTTATTTGATCAATCTGGCTTACAAATTTGACTTATAGGTATCAATTTAAGTGTACATATACTTTACATAAAGATCTATATCGAAAGAATGCAGCATTTCCAAGCACATTACTTCGTCCTCAGAATCAGATAAATCTGATGCCTGATATTAACGATAAGCCTACCTCACAAGTGCCAGAGAGCAAATTTAAAATAAGAAATATTCAAGAAGTTGAAGAAGAGCATAAATAGCCATATGAATGAGTTATTCACTCAGCTAAGGAAGGGACATAGTCTCTCAAGGTACTCTTAGATTTATGATATTTTAGAAAAAGCACCATCACAACTTCAGGCACCAGAAAGCCTAATACAACATACCAGAATAGACTAACAAGCTTTACTAATAAAAATACTAACCAGACCAAAAGAACCAGGCCAAAGACAGCTTATAGACCAATGACAGGGAAGTTGCCTGGTGGTAGAATGAAGAATCTACTAGAGAGCCCAAAGAAAAGTTTCATATCTCACCCATATCAGAATAATCCAGAAGTCCTTGCGAACATAACAGAGATGACTTATGTAGCGCAGTCTAATAAGAATTCAAGGCTTCCTTCTAATGAGAGGAAGAACTCTCCTCGTAAACCTGAGGTTTATCCAAGAAAAACTAATAAATTCAAGAAAACTAGCCGTACAAAGAAATTTTCCAGTAAAAAAATGGTATTTAATCAACAAATAATTTTTACATATAGAGAGAACGAAACGAAATTCTTTCTAAATTTAGCCGTTACGGACCATTCTCCGGCCTTGGTGATACCAAAATGAGTTCTTTCTCAGAGACAAAATCAAAGAATAAGAGAAATAGGATGTTCAGGACCTCCAACCCGTACTCCTTAACTGGAAACAAGGTCAACTCAAATGTAATATTTCTGAGAAATCTTTAGACACAGACTATAAGGAAGCCAATCAAAGCAAGTAGGTTCACTTGGAGAGAAGCTCCAACACAAGAGATAGTCACTCAGATGGAGTTTACAAGGAAACTTGCCCAGTCAAGATCTGAGCTACTTCATCAGGTAATCTAAGTCATTATTCTGTAGCAAAAAGCGACCTCTCGTCCAGCAATGGTAGAAGCAAGTTATAGACCTCTTGAACAATTCATAGAAGAGGCTAATGCTCTTAAGAAAGAAGTCAAACCTCTTCTCAAAAGAACATTGCTGTTTGAAGGAAGGTACGATGATGGCAAGAAAACTGGCAAAGGAGATTTTGTATTCCCTAACGGAGACTTCTTCAGGGGTAACTTCAGTAGAGACCTCAAAGAAGGCTTCGGGACCCTTATTTCTTTCAAAAACAACTTTATCTTTAAGGGAGAGTTTAAACAAGATGAGATAAAAGGCCATGGAACCTGCCTTCATAGTAACGGCATGGTAATAGATGGCTATTACATTGGAGTAAGCCTCTTAATCAATATTTAGGAACAAAAACTTAACAACGATACCGAAGTCAAGGTGCTCTACACTAATGGAGAAGTCTACGAAGGACGCTGGAAAGAAAACAAGAGATCTGGCAAAGGAAAACATATCTACAGTGACTACTCCATTTATGATGGCGATTGGCTGGAAGACGAAAGACACGGGAACGGTAAAATGACTCTTCCCAACAACAGCTTCATAATCGGAGAGTTCAGGAATGATGTGATGGTTAACGGATCTAAATACATCGACGAGAACCGTAATGTCTATGAACCCCTCCTCAGTGGAGACAAATCAGGAAGGTTCTACAATGGAAGGCTCTATGGCTTGGGAAAGATTAATTTCATCAATGGTGATTTGTACGAAGGTATGTTCAAAGATGGCAAAAGGTGCGGTCATGGAAAAATGCAGTACAAATAACATCAAAAAGTACCAAGAGGATGAAGAAGGTCTCTCTCCTAATGAATCTAGTCATCAAGATCTTGACTGGGCCATTTATGATGGAATGTGGAATGACAATTGCAAGCATGGCGAAGGAGTCATGAAATGGAGTGATGAAAGTCAATTCAAAGGCGAATGGAGAAAGGACCAAAGGTATCACGGCACCATGATCATGGTTACAGGTGCTGAATACACAGGATATTGGAAGAACGATAAATTTCATGGTAAAGGTAAAATCACTACTCCAGAAGGACTCGTATTCGAAGGAGAATTCCAGAATGGATTTCGCCAAAAATATGGAACTATTTTCTATGAAGATGGCTCTGTCTATACAGGAGAATTGGAAGATTGGACAAGGCAAGGCTTAGGTAAACTAGAAGAAAACGGAAATACTTATGAGGGATATTTTGATGACAACCGAAAGAATGGCAATGGCAAAATGTACTATAAAAACGGAGACTATTACAACGGAACTTGGCTCGATGATAGACGTGATGGTAATGGGACTATGCTCTATGCAACCACAAAAGAAGTCTATGAAGGAGAATGGAGTGGAGATCTTCGTTCTGGCCTTGGCAAATTAATTATGCCAAATGGAAAAACTATTGAATGAGAATGGAGAAATGGTAAGGCTCAGGGAGAAGGTAAACTTTATGATAGCTAAACCAAATATTAAATTTTCAGTATTTTGTCTTCTCCAAGGGGTTTTGGGGTTTTGGGGTTTTGGGGTTTTGGGG